GGTCTTTTTATGATTAATTTTTTTTTTTTTTTTTTCTTAATGTATTAGGGTGGTATAGTCATTTTAGCTAAGTCAACCGCCAAATGAAGAATACCGGTTGGTGAGGTCATTGCTAATTTTTATAACATAGGGCGGGCGGGTATGTGTCATTAGCTCGAATTAAAATATAACTCATATAATAATCATGGGTTAATTGCAAATATCACCCCTGTGTAATCTCTAATTGCCAAATACCCCCCTGTCATAAAAAAATTCACTCATGCCCCCCTATGTTAACAACGTCAATGCATTAAGACCCCTGAAGGCAAATCGTGCGTCTCACTCGCGGGTTGTGCGATTATTCACGCTATTTTTTGGAAGGAAATGGCATAAATACCCCTTCATAAAGAAAGAAAAAAACAGATTGGTCTAATTATAAATAACCTAAATTTATAGGACCAAATTGTAATTTCCAAAGTTCACACCTTCTTCCCCAAAGTTCACCGCCGCCGTCTGGCCCCACCGACACCCACCCACTCCTTCAAATTTCTCTCCTTCGACACCGCCGCCGTCTTGCATCACCACCGCCCACCCCTCCTTCAAATTCCTCTTCCTCGACACCGCCTAGTTCCTCCGCCACACCTTACCCCAATCCCCTGCAACTTTGTTGCGTCTGCCATAGATGTCACCTCCATGGCAGCACACTCCCCCTTCCATCATCGGCCAATCATCATAGGCTACTCCGAGCAGCGACCCTACCTCACCGGAGATTGGAGAAGAAGGTTGTGGTGGTGCAGGAAGGAGGCGTGATTTTTTTTTTTTTTTTCTTTTGATTAACTTTGTTCATATCATTATTTTAATATAAAATGTAAAATACAACATTACAACACATAAAAACTTTTAATATTACAATATATTTTAATTCTTGTTTATATAATTAGGGGAAACTACAGATAAATCCCTAATCCAAAACTCAAAACACAGATCAGTCCCTAGGTAGTTTCCCCAAGCAATTCAGTCCCTATTCACGCGTCTGACATGCAGATCAGTCCCTAATGTGAATTTTATATATTTTATTATATTCTCTCTCTTCTTTTTCACTCTCACCATTTTCTCTCTCCTCATTTTCTCTCTCTTCATCTTCTCTTTCTTTCTTCTCTTTCTTCATTTCTATCTGCTCTCTTTCTTCTCTATTTCTTCTCTTTTTCTCTCCTCCGGTTTCCTCTTTTTCCGAAGAAAAAATCATTGTAAAACCCACCCACCCCACAATGGCTACAAATGATGTATCTAATGATGTACCCACTGTGATTCTTGGAAGTTGTCGATACAAGCATCTGATAATGAAGATGAGTGTGGTCGACATTGTCGTGATCCGCAAAGATGAAGTTAATTCGCGTGGAAAGAGGGTTCGCACTGATGGCTGGTAGGTCTCCATATTTTTCTGTACTGCTGAAATGCATTTCTTTATGGTTGTTAATTATTGTGATACATAGTATAAAATATGGCACGTAATAGTATCATGTTAATATAAATATGGTATGGACGTATGGTACTTACAGTACATAATCGTTGTTCGTATAGTATGCGTGATAGGTAAATTTGGTACTGTTGGTGGAAAAACATAGTATCATATAATGAGGAAGATAGTACGTAACCTTCATCTGAATAGTATGGGTGATAGGTAAATTTGGTACTGTTGGTGGGAAAACATAGTATAATATAATGGGGAAGACAATACGTAACCATTATTGGAATACGTACAAACAGGTATATCAATTCACGATTAACCCAATTCCCTCGTTTGATGAGGACTTTGACTTGTACGATGCGTGTAATGCTCCGCCCGATGTCTTTGTTAATGCAGCTGATTGAGAACTTGACCGGGACGTAGAAAGACAAAAAGAATTCCTTCACAAGTGCAGTTCGGGTTTTACTGTTGCCCACACCATGGCTACTCCCATTGGTGTGAACCATTTGAAGTTGGGCAAACTTTTTCCAACTCAAATCGTGAAGAAAATGAAGCTACAAGTACGTCGATGAACCAAGTCCATCGAGAAAGTGAAGTGAAGAATTGCAATTCTGAATGTGGAGTAGTTCATAGTTGATAGTGTTGAATCTAGTAATATTTGCAGTCTACATGCTATGTAAAACCTATCTACTGTTGTTTAATTAGTATTGTTACACTCTATATATTATTGTCGGGCCAATGCATCCATATGATCGCATTTGAAGACACAACTCTTCAGTTTAAGACTATTAAGAATGAATGGAGACAATGTGGGAGTTGATCAATATCTATTATGGTAACAATTGAAGAAAATATCAGTTTTACACTTGAGCATTGTAGGCTTGTATGAATATATTGTATAGTATATGAGTATCATGTATGAAATTCAACATATTTATGGGATCTTGTATTCCAAACGCAACAATAATGCTCACCTACCTTAAAATAATCATCTAAAACATAATTTATGCATCTCCCGTACTTATTGATCATTAAAGCGTCAATGAAATTGGTACAATTCAATTCATCAAAAAATATGGTACGCTTTGTTCATCAAGTAAGTACAATGAATACACATGTGAAGTACAAGTGATTCGTGACTATAGTACGCTTTGTTCACTGATAAAGTATATGTTTGCCATTCATATAGTATTGTTACACTCTATATATTATTTTCGGGCCAATGCATCCATATGATCGCATTTTAAGACACAACTCTTCAGTTTAAGACTATTAAAAATGAATGGAGACAATGTGAGAGTTGATCAATATGAGGAAAATATTAGTTTTACACTCGAGCATTATAGACTTATATGAATATATTGTATAGTATATGAGTATCATGTATGAAGATCAACATATTTATGGGATCTTGTATTCCAAACGCAACAATAATGCTCACCTACGTTAAAATAATCATCTAAAACATAATTTATGCATCTCCCGTACTTATGGATCATTAAAGCGTCAATGAAATTGGTACAATTCAATTCATCAAAAAATATGGTACGCTTTGTTCATCAAGTAAGTACAATGAATACACATGTGAAGTACAAGTGATTCGTGACTATAATACGCTTTGTTCACTGATAAAGTATATGTTTGCCATTCATATAGTATTGTTACACTCTATATATTATTGTCGGGCCAATGCATCCATATGATCGCATTTTAAGACACAACTCTTCAGTTTAAGACTATTAAGAATGAATAGGAACAATGTGGGAGTCGATCAACATCGATTATGGTAAGTTTTTCGTGAATACACATGTGAAGTACGCTTTGTTCATCAAGTAAGTACAAGTCTAGTGTTGACAAGGTATCTTCGAATAGACTAGAAAGTATTTGTTGCTCATTTTTATGGTACGCTTATATTCTTTATACAAACTAATTAATCGCAAAATAAAGTACCATGTGTTCAAAAGGTAAGTACATTTCATCGAAACATATTGTACAATGTATACAATGGAAAAGTACGAGTAGAGCTAATCAATAGTATTATTAGCTCTACAACAAAAGGACAGATTGTTTATGGCACAAAAAACACATTCATCTGTTTGAAAAGCGATCGGTGAGCACCTGCAGCCTATAGATAGAACCAGTACGAAAAATACAATAAGTCTCTTTCCCATATTCTATATGAAACCCTTGTTAGGACTCAAGATGCTTTGGGGACATGCCAATGCCACCGAAGAATAATACCCATGAGAAAACTATTACAAAATCATGAAATTCGACAACAAATAAATGATATTTGCAAACCCAAACAACACAACAACAGATATTGGAACCGATTTAATGATTAGGGGAAACACCGAATAAAGTCGAGGCATAATACCCATGAGTGGATATGTTCAAAATCATGCAATTCTATAACAAATAAACCTTTTGCAAGCTTAAGCAACACCCAAATGGGTCTGTTTCCAAGAAAATGAAAAAAAAATAAAAAATCAAACCTTGTTGTTTACCCTGCTTCACCATTGTCTATAAATGGGTTTGTTTATTTTTATTTTTCCTTTCGCTTTATTATGTTTCTGCGTTTTGTTGATTCTTCGTGCTTCGTAATTTCTTCGTTCTTTGTTGTTTCTTTGTTCTTCGTTTCTTTGTTCTTCGTTTCTTCTCTGTTTCTTCTTGGTCTGAAAGTGGGTATAAACTGAATGGTGGTTTTTTTTCTGCACCTTTTTAGCTTCTTTTTTGTTGTTTGATTTTTGAAATGTAACAGGCAAAGAGCGTGTAACACAAACGGCGCGTTGGAAGTTGAAAAGAAGTTATGTAAAATTGGTATAAAGTAAAGGGTATTTTAGTATTTGCACATTTTATTAGGGACTGATCTGTATGTTAGGCGCGTGAGTAGGGACTGAATTGCTTGGGGAAACTACCTAGGGACTGATCTGTGTTTTGAGTTTTGGATTAGGGATTTATCTGTAGTTTCCCCATATAATTATTACGTTTTGTAATTACAAAATAATTTTATTTTATATATAATTAGATAATTATAATATAAAATTTGGTGTAATTAGAATCAATTATCATGTACTAATTGCTGAAAAAACCCTAGGACATTTCAGTCTTTTTACATTTAGTCAAAGACTAAAATTAGAAATGGTGCAGTGTGCTTCGAAAATGTTAACACAAGGGGTATAAGAGAGTTTTTTTTTTACAGGAGAGTATTTTGGCAATTATAGATTACACAGGGGTGGTATTTGCAATTAACTCTAATAATCATTCTCTTGGCCATTGATGAACTTAAACAAAAATAATACAACATTATCCCAAAGAATAAATAGTATTAACAATATGAGCCAAAAAAAAAAAAATAATATGATAACAATAATTCATAATAATAAAAATGAATTTTGTACACAACAAAAAATCGAAGAACAACGACATCCTGCCCAATCAAACGGTTGGAGCAAATGACGATGTGTCAATTAACCCAAGATCGAATTCCCTTGCCAACGGTCGCTAGGTCGAACATGTGTGGTTTACAAACATTAAAGAAAAAAACAAAAACTCAAACGAACAAACAGTGCAACGACGAAACCAAAAGACTCGGAAACAGAAACATAATCCCAAGCCCCCGTTGAGAAGCCGCAGAGTCGAGCCGAATATCCTCTTTCTCCACCTTCATACCAGATCCATCAATCTGCACGTAAGCTCCTATGGTCAAATTTTTCTTTTCCGAATCCCCACGAAACTCACCGTTATAATAGCTCGGCCACGCCACCAAGTCCACCCTAAAAACCACTGTCGACCTATTCAAGACCGCCTGTAGGGCGGTCTCCCACGGCACCCCTCGGCTCTCCACCACCTCCCGCCGGTAATACGTCTTCCCCGCCGTTTGGTAGAAGCTGGGAACGATGTAGTTTGCGACGGCGCTTTGACCGTACGAAAAGGTGAGGTTAACATCTCCGTAGAGTAAATCGCTCTCGAGGATGTTGTGGAAGGCGAGGTCAAAGAAGAGACAAGGGTTAATTATTATTGTGTTTTTGTTATTATTATTATAATTATCTGAAATATTCGGGTTTAAGGAGAGATCGAGGGCGGGGACGTAGAATTCTTTGATGTAGCAGCGCGGGCCGTTGAAGTGGCTGCGGCTGAGGATGATGGCTAAGGGAACTACAATTGTGGTTGCAATGACAAAAATTAGAGAACACAAGTGGAAGCATTTCATTATATTGATGTTGTTGGAGCTTTTTTATTATTAAGGAGATCAAATCTATTCGTATAGAGAACAATAGTATAAATGTAATTATATCTTTGCAAATAATATTGGTTTCAATGTAGACTTTGTAAATCCTTAGAACAATGTTGATAATGTGCTACATGTGTTGAAATCGTCATCGTACGTACATTGTGTTTGACTTTGTGTTTTTTGTTTTTTAAGAACAAAGGAGAAGAGTTCACATATATATATATATATATATATATATATATATATATATATATATATATATATATATATATATATATATATGTGTGTGTGTGTGATCGATGAAATCATCTATAATAAGATGCTACACCTGGTAAAAAGCAATTGGGAAGGAGGTTGCACCATATACAGTAGAACCTCGATAAATTAATAACCTCTTTTAGATAATAAATTTTTTTGGTTCCGACTTGGGGATAACGTGCTATATTAATAATTCGCTAAAGTTATAGGATAATACACATTTAAAATTTTTAAGAAGCCCCATATAATATATAAATTAATAATGCATAAAAATAATTCTTAAATTACATGGTACAGTGCATATTTTATAGATCTATGAAGGATTAATAAAATATAAATTAGTTATCGCTTATTTGTTGTTCTAGTTCACATTACCATCAATATCGTCTCTCAGTTTTGTTAACATGGTTATAACTTCTGATTTAGTTTTCTCATTAACTCAACAGAAAATTGTTCAATATCATTGCTGCTTTAAGAGCTTCCGTTCGTGAAACGGGCACTATAGTGTATTGAACTAATGATACAATGAATAATATATACGTAAAAAAATAAAATTAAATGTATCTATTGATAAAAATAATTTCATAAAGCAATAAGTTATTAATTAATATATAAGTTAATATTATTAATTTATCAATTAGTTAATATTTTACTAAAGTAATGAAATTTTGATGATCCCAACTGTATTTTGTTTATATATATATATATATATATATATATATATATATATATATATATATATATATATATATATATATATATATATATATATATATATATATATATATATATATATATATATATATACAAATAACTGTCCATTAGTCATACATACACATGAATATGTATTATTATATGTAGATCAATAGTGCATGTGATCAACCGATATTTTATCTGAGTGCAGCATCTACAAAACTTCGAATCTTGCTGGAGTTGAATAAGAAAAAGATAACCAATGGATTAAATATAAAATATAAGTTGACAAATAATTAATAAAATAAATTATAGATACTTCTTCTAGATTGAGTCTATGCGCAGTAGTTTATCAATCGCACTGATCCTTCACTCATCTTTTCCTAATTTTTGAAATTACTTTCTATTTTCTTGGTCGAGAAATTGTGGAGGGATGAGCATTACCCAATTATTTATTTCTTTCAAGTAGCTAATTATACCCCCAATTGTCTTTTCAATTTGTTTTGTTATAATTTATCTCCGTATTTTAAAATTTGAAATCATTCTCTCTAATTTATATTAAATTTCTATATTGTTTCAAACGTACGTTCTTCAAATTTCATACTATAGGTTTTCTTACAAAAATAATTAGGGTTTAGAATGAAAAACTTTTTTTCCCCAATTTCATTCATTGACGTTTTGACCGTTGACCACCATTGACCTGTTAACGTTTTTTTTTCCCGATTTTTCTTTCATGCAATTCTACTATCAGCTTGGCTATTTAGATATTCGGTTAGCGGATCATAATAGCGGTCAACACAGTATAGAATAGCCAAAAGTAAGAAAAAAAAAAAAAGTTGACCGATCAACACATGCAACATAATAGCCCAAGTATACAATTAAAGAATAAAATATACTAAATTGAACAATAATATCATGGTATCTCTTAAGAATGAATGTTATTTATAACATATGAAGAACATGGAAAAGTATCAAAAGATAATATTCTAGTAAAAAACTGATGATTATGTAATAATTAATAACTTTATGACAATAATCATCAAGTGGAAAGCTATTAATTAATTCAAACCCTGAATAGTAAAATAGGAACGACACAAATTCTGAACATTTTAAGGATTATTCGTAACGTCTATCATTTAAAGTGCAAATTAAATTAATAGGAAACCATTCAATTCCCAGCACTATAAATTCACAACCTTTGTACCTAATTCCATCATAAAATTAGCCGATCGATTTTGCAGAGCTTTCTAAACAATGTCGTGCTTTCGGTGATTTTTGATTCGTGAAAAGATAGTTGAAATTTTTTCGTTTTCTTTTATCATTCAAATGTTAAAGTTTCGCCTAACTTATTTCGAGAGAAATTTGTCTTTCTCATGGTTCGATACACAGTCCTCACATTTATACTTCTTATCCTTTTACATAATGTGACATGCGCGCGCGCACACACACACATAAATATATATATATATATATATATATATATATATATATATATATATATATACATGGATTGTTGTTCATGACATATCAATACTTCGCTTCCTCCTCCACTCATATAGGTAAAATGGGTAGTGCAGTAATGAAGTTTGCTGCGAAATTAAGATCAAACCCATTGGAAGTATGGCCTAAAAAAGGCTACTACGTCACATTCGATCTTTCCAAGAAGAAAAGAAAAATTTCTTGTGTTTTTTTCTTTAACGATGATATCGATAGCAATGGGTGTGAATGTGTCGGAGGGTGTTCGGACGGTTGCTTTTGCGCAACGAAAAATCGGGGAGAACTCGCATACGACACGCATGGAATTCTCGTGAGGGGGAAACCTTTTCGTTTTCGAGTGCGGCTTGGGGAATCAAAATTGCGATTGCAATGGTAATTAAGACAACATATGCTGAAAGCTGTACTGGTATTCATTGTTGGAGATTTTAAGGAGAAATTCATAGAGAACAAGCTACATTTTGGAAATATGGAGTTTGTAATTTTTAAGAACACATATATTCATTGTAGAGATCAATATCTACTTTGCATATCTTATTAGATATATAGACTGTGTATATAATATAATATAGTATAGTTTTCTGGTTAAATTTATGTATTGGTATTCATTGTTCGATTTTGTTCCGGGTAAATGAGCTTGAAATTCGAATTTTTCGTGGGGTAAATTACAAACCCCGTGAAGTATGGTCAAATTACTAAAAAGTCCCTCCTGTATGGGTAATTACAACCATCCTTTACTATAAATATTTTTACACGTCCACCCTTGCGGTTTCAAATTTAGTGGAGTCTTCTAGATTATATGGAATATTCTTATTTTTGTACCCGTTTTATCCCATTCGAGCTCCACATTTTGAAGCAAGATGATCATAAGATGTGTTTTTTTGTTTGTATATATCAGATTGTGGTGCAACAATAACTGTATTTTTGCACAAAACGAGTACAAACTAGAAAACATTCCACAAAATTTAGATAATTATGTTGAATTTGACCTATAAAACTTGAGGTATAAGAAGATTTATAGTCGATGGGAAGATGTAATTATCCAAAGAGGAGTTTTTTTTTTTTTTTAGTTTGACCGGTGGTTGTAATTTAACCTTTTTTCTTGTGCACTTTGAAGTTCATTACCCAACGCCTTTTGAGTTCCGTGTATGTATCCAAATTGCCCAAAATTACTCTTTTTGGGATTGATTTTAACCGACAATATTATGTGATATAAAGACGGTCGGAATATAATATTTACTTCAAATCTATTGTTATACGAGCAGTTACAACTTGTGAGGACATATTAATTATTTCTTGGAAATGTTTTGGGATACGCCGTACGGACAATTCTAGAAGATGAAAAGTCCTCGTATTCGATATTTGGACACTTGGATACGATACGGACATCCATATCGGTCCGTGTCGTAATCCCGGGTTCGAACTCCACCCCTTTCAATGTTTGATTTCTTTTCCAAATCTTAACATTTTTCACCTTTTTGGTCCACTATTTTGATTTTTTTTCTAAATCTTAACATTTTTCACCTTTTTTCTCATTAAATATTTCCACAATTCACCTAAATTTTTTAAATTGTAAATTTTTGGTCCACTATTTTTATAAAGTGATATTTAAATTTTTTACTCTACAATTTCGAACCCCCTTGGCAAAAATCCTGGATCCGCCACTGACCACATCGGGCATTGTCCACAATTTAAAAAAAAGTTGGGACACGATTCCTATGTTTTAAGAGAACGCCTTAATAAAAAAATATGCATTTTGTTTTCTCTGTTATACTCATTTCCTTTGTCTTCGTTGAGAGTCCACACAAAAGTCCAAAACTCTAGCGGCGACGGGGACCAAGAACACGAGCATCAAGGCGAGTGGTTCTTCTTATGCGCCTTGGCGACTTATAAATCTTTTTACAATTTATAAATGTATCCCTATATTTTTATAATTTATAAGTATATCCCTATATTTTTTATATTTACGCGTATCCCCAACTGTTCGTATCCTAGTTTTTTGAAAATGGTGTATCGTCGTGTCCGTATTTACAGCAAAAGGGGGTTTATATATGATGGGTTTTGCAGAAGAATAATGAACTTGAATCTTAGCTCCAAACCGAACTGAATTTCGTCGGAGAAAATGTTTGAGTGGTGGGGCGAGGCGGAGCCTGAGGATATGGAGGGAGGTGAGGCCGGAGAGAGTGTTTGCCGGAAGGCGAGCGGCAGTCAGCTATGTTCAGTGTATCTTTAGAAAATTGCAAATCAGTCCCTTACTTATGGAAGAAGAGGGCCTTTATGAAACTTCAATGGCCTGAATTGGAAAAAAATGAAAACTTTATTTGGGGCTTAAGTTTGAAATTTATAATTTAAAGGGTATTTAGGTATTTTCACATCAAATAATCAAACCCCAGTCACAATATTTGGCGAGTGTATCACACGACCAGCCCGTAGGCCTTAATATCGTTGACTATGCAACACACATGGGAATGTGCTAATTGTTTTGACATAAGGGTTTTTATAGCCATTAGAGTGTAAATGTCTAACATTCACCCCTACAAAAGAGTGTTACTGTAAGAAATCTACAAATTGGAAGGGTGCATGTAATTATCGGAAAATGATGAATTTTTTCGTAAATAAACGTTACCTTTGGGAAGATTTGTAATTTACCGATAAAAATAATCATACAAAAATTGAATTTGGACGGAACACAAAATCCTCAATGACATTCTCACAATCAAATATTAAGCTTTCTTGATACAAAAACTCGAAAGAACAAACACTGCAATGTAACTAAAAGATTCAGAAGCAGAACAAAGGTCCCCACCCAACGGTGAGAAGCAGCAGAGTCAAGCCCAATATCCTCTTTCTTGACCTTCATCCCAGACCCATCAATCTCCCCGTCAGCCCCAATCCTCACACTTTTCTGGTATTCATTGTTGGAGATTTTAAGGAGAAACCCTTGGAGAACAATATATACATGGATAAATTGCACTTTCAAAATAATTTCAAAGTCCCAGTAGTATTGGTAATTACAGCCACACCCCAGAAACAACTACCGGAACCAAGATTTCATGTCCTGGGGATCTATATGCACTATATTTATTTTTCGCGGGGCCGTAAATACTACCACAGACGAAAATTTATAAATCTTATATACAATAATAAGGATTTAAGAAATGTTGGGGGATCCATGTCATCCCCTAACTCTCTGATACCTCCACCATTGCCTGAAACTAA